CAGATTCCAATGAGACTCTTTCTTCCATAAGCGCCCATCGTATGAGGGGGTGAAGGCTGTTTTACATTTAAATGGCGCCATAGACAATAAGAGCCACTGACTCTCTGTAAACTCAACTGAACAGTAAGGACTGATAAAATAGTTCTGAAAGGTCTCTGTCAAGCTGACTGGACTTCCACAAAGCCGTGTATTAAGCATGTTTATTATTTGAAGGCACTACATATGTGTGCTTCTATGTATGGAGAGACAAGCAGAGATGCAGCAGAGATCAGACCCTCTGCCAGTGACATACCCCGTGTTCAGGTATAGAGCGCAAGCGGTCCGCGGGCCAGTCCACCTCTGGTATTGGTGATCCTGAACCGTTGCAGATCACCGTAACTTGACCACCTTCAACAACTATTATGTTGCTGTGACTGACGCTGACAACCGGCAGGTCTGGAACACAGAAGCAGAGGTTGTTCATGTGCTAGCTGGCCAATGTCCGCCGTTCAATGCTCATTTTCAAAACTACAGTGGTGATCAGCAGTTAAACGTCAACCTTCATGGTAATGGACAGTTTATTTAAGCCTTTTCAGTTCTTAAAGGAAAAGTCCGCTCATATTCAGAATTTAAACTTCAGAAAGTTCTTTAAATTTGAAATTATTCCATCCTGTTCAATAACTGATCAGTGTTTTTAATTCAGAGTAACTTTCATTTGAATGTGCTTTACTGGAGGCATCCATGTTTGGATATTTTTGGATATTATTTCTATAAAGCGCTGCTTCTTACCACAGTTGGTAACATTCATGTCCATCAGGAGAATTTCAGCATCTCCAGTGGAGCAGGTAAGCTGTTGGTTGCTAAGGCCGGCCCGTCCGCTCTGCTGCCACAGCTGAAGCCAGCGGATCTCACAGCCACAGGGAAACACCACCTCCTCCATATGCCTGCACACACAAGAGATAACGGAGCTAGTAGCCTCCAAACCAGGGGCGGATTTAGGAAATGTGGGGCCCTAGGCAGCTGCCTAG